CAGATGGAGCCAAGCAGCTTCCCACGTATTAAGACCCTCGAATATTGAGTGCTCATAACTGCCTGATAGAATGGTGGACACCTCCAAAGAGCGATCGCCGACCTCCATCTAACGTGGCCCAGAAAGGTCACTCCAGAGAAGAAGAATGTACCTCACAGAGAAAATGAATGCAAAGAATTCCTGTACGTTCCAAAATAGAGCTTTCATCAGAAGTATTGAACTCACAGGGTGATCAGCAGAAAAACGCTTGTAAACCGCTACAGGGGACCGCTAGAAACTGCCGCCACGCTACAGGAGACCGCTAGAAACTGCCGCCACGCTACAGGGGACCGCTAGAAACTGCCGCCACGCTACAGGAGACCGCTAGAAACTGCCGCCACGCTACAGGGGACCGCTAGAAACTGCCGCCACGCTACAGGGGACCGCTAGAAACTGCCGCCACGCTACAGGAGACCGCTAGAAACTGCCGCCACGCTACAGGGGACCGCTAGAAACTGCCGCCACGCTACAGGAGACCGCTAGAAACTGCCGCCACGCTACAGGGGACCGCTAGAAACTGCCGCCACGCTACAGGGGACCGCTAGAAACTGCCGCCACGCTACAGGGGACCGCTAGAAACTGCCGCCACGCTACAGGGGACCGCTAGAAACTGCCGCCACGCTACAGGGGACCGCTAGAAACTGCCGCCACGCTACAGGGGACCGCTAGAAACTGCCGCCACGCTACAGGGGACCGCTAGAAACTGCCGCCACGCTACAGGGGACCGCTAGAAACTGCCGCCACGCTACAGGAGACCGCTAGAAACTGCCGCCACGCTACAGGGGACCGCTAGAAACTGCCGCCACGCTACAGGAGACCGCTAGAAACTGCCGCCACGCTACAGGAGACCGCTAGAAACTGCCGCCACGCTACAGGAGACCGCTAGAAACTGCCGCCACGCTACAGGAGACCGCTAGAAACTTCCGCCACGCTACAGGGGACCGACCGCTAGAAACTGCCGCCACGCTACAGGGGACCGCTAGAAACTGCCGCCACGCTACAGGAGACCGCTAGAAACTGCCGCCACGCTACAGGGGACCGCTAGAAACTGCCGCCACGCTACAGGGGACCGCTAGAAACTGCCGCCACGCTACAGGAGACCGCTAGAAACTGCCGCCACGCTACAGGAGACCGCTAGAAACTGCTGCCGCCACGCTACAGGAGACCGCTAGAAACTGCTGCCGCCACGCTACAGGAGACCGCTAGAAATTGCCGCCACGCTACAGGAGACCGCTAGAAACCGCCACGCTACCACGCTACAGGAGACCGCTAGAAATTGTCGCCACGCTACAGGAGACCGCTAGAAATTGTCGCCACGCTACAGGAGACCGCTAGAAACTGCCGCCACGCTACAGGAGACCGCTAGAAACTTCCGCCACGCTACAGGAGACCGCTAGAAACCGCCGCCACGCTACAAGACCGCTAGAAACCGCCGCCACGCTACAGGAGACCGCTAGAAACTGCCGCCACGCTACAGGAGACCGCTAGAAACTGCCGCCACGCTACAGGAGACCGCTAGAAACTGCCGCCACGCTACAGGAGACCGCTAGAAACTGCCGCCACGCTACAGGGACCGCTAGAAACTGCCGCCACGCTACAGGAGACCGCTAGAAACTGCCGCCACGCTACAGGAGACCGCTAGAAACTGCCGCCACGCTACAGGAGACCGCTAGAAACTGCCGCCACGCTACAGGAGACCGCTAGAAACTGCTGCCGCCACGCTACAGGAGACCGCTAGAAATTGCCGCCACGCTACAGGAGACCGCTAGAAACCGCCGCCACGCTACAGGAGACCGCTAGAAATTGTCGCCACGCTACAGGAGACCGCTAGAAATTGTCGCCACGCTACAGGAGACCGCTAGAAACTGCCGCCACGCTACAGGAGACCGCTAGAAACCGCCGCCACGCTACAGGAGACCGCTAGAAACCGCCGCCACGCTACAGGAGACCGCTAGAAACCGCCGCCACGCTACAGGAGACCGCTAGAAACTGCCGCCACGCTACAGGAGACCGCTAGAAACTGCCGCCACTCTACAGGAGACCGCTAGATATAGTTGTCACGCTACAGGAGACCGCTAGAAACTGCCGCCACGCTACAGGAGACCGCTAGATATAGTTGCCACGCTACAGGAGACTGTCAGAGATTGGAGTCGTGCTGCAGAAGACTGCTGTGTAGCCATCATGCTACATAATACTGAGGAGCTCTTGTTATGTGTGCAGGAGAGTGTCCGTCTTCCGTTGTACTACAAGAGACTCATCTTCCCTCCTGATCCAGACGTCATCCCGCCTCTCACAGCTATTCGCTTCCTCTGCCATCAGTCATTGGTTTCCTACATACACGCTAGCACCATCTGCTGGCTGAATCTTAGAATGCAGTGCAGGCCTCTCAGGGAAGCAGACAGACGTCCACTATGTGCCCTCGGGCAATGCAGGGGCAGATGTGGTGGCCCCATATCCTGTTCATAGGATGACGTCATTCTGTTATGGCCCCAGCCGCGGCCTGAACACCTCCTGCCCCAACGTTTGCTTGCCTTGGTGACCACCGTTTATGGACTGGACTTCTCACTTTGGTCATCTGCCAGCCCATTGGCTGAGCATGAACCACCCATAAAAAACACTGTGCACCTCCAGTGAACCCCAACTTCCTGCTGGTGACACCGGTGGTCCCCACTAACCACTGAAAGTGGTCTTCAATGTCCCCACTTGCATATTCTTCCAAGTCCTCAGTTCCATAAGATGGTCTTCCAAGTCTCCTCATTCATAAAGTGGTCCTCCACAAAGCGGTCTTCCGTTGCCCCCGCTTCCACAAAGCAGCCACAATGCGGTCTTTAATGGCCCCCGCTTCCATAAAGAGGTCTTCCGTTGCCCCCGCTTCCATAAAGAGGTCTTCCGGGGCCCCTGCTTCCACAAAGCGGCCTTCAATGGCCCCGCTTCCATAAAGAGGTCTTCTGTTGCCCCCACTTCCACAAAGCAGCCACAATGCGGTCTTCAATGGCCCCCGCTTCCATAAAGAGGTCTTCCGTTGCCCTCACTTCCACAAAGCATCCACAATGCGGTCTTCACTGGCTCCCGCTTCCATAAAGAGGTCTTCCGGGGCCCCCGCTTCCACAAAGCGGTCTTCACTGGCCCCCGCTTCCATAAAGAGGTCTTCCGGGTCCCCCGCTTCCACAAAGCATCCACAATGCGGTCTTCACTGGCCCCCGCTTACATAAAGAGGTCTTCCGTTGCCCCCGCTTCCACAAAGCATCCACAATGCGGTCTTCAATGGCCCCGCTTCCATAAAGCTGTCTTCCGGGGCCCCCGCTTCCATAAAGCGGTCAACAATGACTAGTGACACCGGGGTCCCCAATAATCACTGACAATGACTAGTGATGCCGGGGTCCTCAATAATCACCGACAATGACTAGTGACACCGGGGTCCCCAATAATCGCCGACAATGACTAGTGACGCCGGGGTCCCCAATAATCACCGACTATGACTAGTGACACCGGGGTCCCCAATAATCACCGACAATGACTAGTGACACCGGGGTCCCCAATAATCACCGACAATGACTAGTGACACCGGGGTCCCCAATCACCGACAATGACTAGTGACACCGGGGTCCCCAATAATCACCGACAATGACTAGTGACACCGGGGTCCCCAATCACCGACAATGACTAGTGACACCGGGGTCCCCAATAATCACCGACAATGACTAGTGACACCGGGGTCCCCAATAATCACCGACAATGACTAGTGACACCGGGGTCCCCAATAATCACCGACAATGACTAGTGACACCGGGGTCCCCAATCACTGACAATGACTAGTGACACCGGGGTCCCCAATCACTGACAATGACTAGTGACACCGGGGTCCCCAATCACTGACAATGACTAACCAGTGACACGCCAGACCTTCTCTGGAGCTCCTGTGACTCGTGAAGCATCTCATAGACATTGCCGGGTTGGAGTCTTGCTCTGGATTTGCAGGGGGGGGGGGGGTTCAGGATAAAAAGAAGGGTCATTCATGAGCCTGAACAAAGTGCCTCTGTGACACGATGACGTCACCCCCTCCATGAACGGGCTCCTATTATAGACACTTGTTGTGATGTTCTCCGTCGGGGGATGTGTGATGCCGGGACGTTTCACCGACAATTACATCCATACATGACAATTATCAGACCAATCTGCTGATCCCCCGGCCGGTTGGGAATAAATGGAAGAGGCGCGGCGGTGAGCGTGGCGGTGAGCGTGGCAATGAGCGCGGCGGTGAGCGTGGCGGTGAGCGCGGCGGTGAGCGTGGCAATGAACGCGGCGGTGAGCGTGGCGGTGAGCGCGGCGGTGAGCGTGGCAATGAACGCGGCGGTGAGCGTGGCGGTGAGCGCGGCGGTGAGCGTGGCAATGAGCGCGGCGGTGAGCGCGGCGGTGAGCGTGGCAATGAACGCGGCGGTGAGCGTGGCAATGAGCGCGACGGTGAGCGTGGCAATGAGCGCGGCGGTGAGCGTGGCGGTGAGCGTGGCAATGAGCGCGGCGGTGAGCGTGGCAATGAGCGCGGCGGTGAGCGTGGCAATGAGCGCGGCGGTGAGCGTGGCAATGAGCGCGGCGGGTGAGCGTGGCAATGAGCGCGGCGCGGCGGTGAGCGTGGCAATGAGCGCGGCGGTAATGGGCGGTTCACTCCGCTGTGCATTATATATCATGAAAACGTCTCGTACCGCCATTTGCGCCCCGCGGCTCTCAGACGATGGGTGGGCGGGTGTCAGTCTGGATTTGTATACAAAATACCCCATGTGACGCTGAGCCGCCATGATCTGAAGTAGGCTTCCATGCCAGGGACAGTCAGGCTGGGGAGGAATAAGCTAGATGATGCTGGACGTCCTCCAGACAGGAAATGGGGCGGAGCTCTGACTGGCTTCAGCTTCTAATTGTGAGAAGCTCCCAGTGTGCAGTGACATCAGAGGAAGCCATTTCAGTCCAGGGGAGGAGCCGGTACACCTGTGCAAGACTGGAGGGGAGGAGCTGTCCTTCAGCTCCAGTGACTGTGCCTAGGCTGGTATGATGTAATCAGTCTGCTGCAGGCAGGAGGAGGCATTTCCTCCGTCTTCCCTCCCCCAGTGATCAGACTGTACATTGTAACTTTGTAGAAGGAGGAGGCATTTCCTCTGTCTGCCCTCCCCCAGTCCTGCAGACGATGGATCCGTTCTCCGGATATTCGGGATGTGGTGTCTGGACCCCCCGTTGTTGTATTATCCGATGTACACAGCGAGACGCACATCAGCTCCCAATCCACGGGAAAGCCAATAATCTTCTGACCAATCTTCTGTCTCCATACTTAGTGCAGCTTATGAAAATCCCCAATGTTTTCTCCATACTGAACACGCCTGGTACATGGATTGCTGCACGCCGCCGCTGGAAGATTACATGTGTCCCAGCGCTGTGCGGGGTATTAAGTGCTGCCAGGATTTAGATCTCCAGAAAATCCAGAATCCGAAACATGATATTCACCTGTGCTGGGCGAGAACCACGCGGCAACCGTCATCCGCTCACCAGAGGAAGCCCATACACGGCCAACATTCCCTGCACCCGGCCCACACACCCCGCCCGCACCCCCCGCTCTCGGCCCGCGTTCCCCCGCACCTCGGCCCACACACGGCCCGCGTTCCCCGCACCCGGCCCACACTCCCCGCTCTCGGCCCGCGTTCCCCCGCACCCGGCCCGCGCACGGTCAGTATCCCCGCACCCGGCCCGCGCACGGTCAGTATCCCCGCACCCGGCCCGCGCACGGTCAGTATCCCCCCGCACCCGGCCGCGCACGGTCAGTATCCCCGCACACGGCCCGCGCACGGTCAGTATCCCCGCACACGGTCAGTATCCCCGCACACGGTCAGTATCCCCGCACACGGTCAGTATCCCCGCACACGGCCCACACACACGGTCAGTATCCCCGCACACGGTCAGTATCCCCGCACACGGTCAGTATCCCCGCACACGGCCCACACACGGTCAGTATCCCCGCACATGGCCCACACACGGTCAGTATCCCCGCACACGGGCCACACAAGGTCAGTATCCCCGCACACGGGCCACACACGGTCAGTATCCCCGCACACGGGCCACACACGGTCAGTATCCCCGCACACGGCCCACACACGGTCAGTATCCCCGCACACGGCCCACACACGGTCAGTATCCATCCCCGCACACGGCCCCACACACGGTCAGTATCCCCGCACACGGCCCACACACGGTCAGTATCCCCGCACACGGGCCACACACGGTCAGTATCCCCGCACACGGGCCACACACGGTCAGTATCCCCGCACACGGCCCACACACGGTCAGTATCCCCGCACACGGCCCACACACGGTCAGTATCCCCGCACACGGCCCACACACGGTCAGTATCCCCGCACACGGCCCACACACGGTCAGTATCCCCGCACACGGCCCACACACGGTCAGTATCCCCGCACACGGCCCACACACGGTCAGTATCCCCGCACACGGCCCACACCCGGCCAGTATCCCCGCACCCGGCCAGTATCCCCGCACCCGGCCAGTATCCCCGCACCCGGCCAGTATCCCCGCACACGGCCCACACACGGTCAGTATCCCCGCACACGTCAGTGTTCTGGTTTTATTTCTGAAATGGATCTGCAGGCCAAGCTGGCCAGTGACAGGATGGATTGTAGAACATTGGAGGACTGAACGGATTTTTGTGGAAATAAAAAAAAGAATTTTTGGGCCATCAAAAGGGGTTCCTATAGACTAGAGTCAGACTGGATCCGGCGTGAGCTCACACATGTGGAGACTTTGATTGTATATAACCCGACAGTGATGTGTATGGGCAATCCCCCCCCTCCCCCAACATCCAATCCGCACACAGCCGCATAGCAAAGGCGATTCTGACCGCAGTCTATACAGGCGAACATCAAATTTATTATGATGGAAATCCCCCGAATCCCCCTGACATCGCCTGAACTCCCCACACACCATCCAGATAAAGATTCCATTGTACCCCACACAAAGGCCAGACCGCCCCCGCCAACGCTGCCACCGCCGCCGCGCGCTGTGAAAGGGCCTTATCACCAGATATGACCGCAGAGACACGCCGACAGATCCAGGACACTTTTCACATCATTTTCATGAAACGAATGCAAAGGATTTAATAAATGGTTTTATGCTGAGGTGTTCAAGCTGGAGTGTAAACTGCGTCTTTGTTGTTTCCCTGGTTCCCCCCTCCACCCTCAATTACATTCTCAAATAGAACCTTTTCCATTGCCGACCTCATCACTGAGTCTCTGTATTCTCTGTGCAATGCATCAGATCCGAGTCTCTGTCTGGCTATGCATGCAGTGTAGCGGATCCTCCCCTCCAATCTGGCACGGGTGTAGCGGCTCCTCCCCTCCAGTCTGGCACGGGTGTAGCGGCTCCTCCCCTCCAATCTGGCACAGGTGTACCGGCTCCTCCCCTCCAGTCTTGGCACAGGTGTAAGCTCACAATAACATCAGAGGAAGCAGTTTCAGTCCAGAAGAGGAGCCGCTACCCCTGCGCCAGACTGAAGGGGAGGAGCCGCTACCCCTGCGCCAGACTGAAGGGGAGGAGCCGCTACCCCACTTCTGCGCCAGACTGAAGGGGAGGAGCCGCACCCCTGCGCCAGACTGAAGGGGAGGAGCCGGCACCCCTGCGCCAGACTGAAGGGGAGGAGCCGCACCCCTGCGCCAGACTGAAGGGGAGGAGCCGCTACCCCTGCGCCAGACTGAAGGGGAGGAGCCGGCTACACCTGCGCCAGACTGAAGGGGAGGAGCCGCTACCCCTGCGCCAGACTGAAGGGGAGGAGCCGCTACCCCTGCGCCAGACTGAAGGGGAGGAGCCGCTACCCCTGCGCCAGACTGAAGGGGGGAGGAGCCGCTAGCCCCTGCGCCAGACTGAAGGGGAGGAGCCGGCACACCTGCGCCAGACTGAAGGGAGGAGCCGCACCCCTGCGCCAGACTGAAGGGGAGGAGCGCCAGCTGAAGGGGAGGAGCCGCACCCCTGCGCCAGACTGAAGGGGAGGAGCCGCTACCCCTGCGCCAGACTGAAGGGGAGGAGCCGCTACTGAAATAGCCCTGCGCCAGACTGAAGGGGAGGAGCCGCTACACCTGCGCCAGACTGAAGGGGAGGAGCCGCTACACCTGCGCCAGACTGAAGGGAGGAGCCGCTACACCTGCGCCAGACTGAAGGGGAGGAGCCGCTACACCTGCGCCAGACTGAAGGGGAGGAGCCGCTACACCTGCGCCAGACTGAAGGGGAGGAGCCGCTACACCTGCGCCAGACTGAAGGGGAGGAGCCGCTACACCTGCGCCAGACTGAAGGGGAGGAGCCGCTACACCTGCGCCAGACTGAAGGGGAGGAGCCGCTACACCTGTGCCAGACTGAAGGGGAGGAGCCGCTACACCTGCGCCAGACTGAAGGGGAGGGCGGAGTTAGATCTAACAAGGGGCGGAGTGAGCAGGATAGAAATGAAGTCTCTCTATGAAGGGAAGGCCGAAGGGAGGATTAATAGAGCGCCACCTTCAGGAGGGTGTTGGTGCAGCTCACAGCCACCTCCGGGCAGTGATGATCGGCCCCTCTCATAGGCCGGTCTGTGGGATCTGTGCGGTGGACTCGTTGCTCGCTCTGCATACATAGAAGGGATTGGTGTGACACAGTTGTTCGGGTTTCTGTTTATTCTGATCCCCCCCACCCCCCCTGTATAATGTGAGTAATGGACAATCAGCGGAGATCCCTGAACAAATCCCCCGGCTTCCTCATTACATCCCGAGGTTTACTCCGCTACTCAACAAAGCTGGTGGGTCTGAGCCAACAGGTGACCAGATGGCCAGCGTTCCCCGTATCTGGCCTGCTGTGACCCCTGCAACAGCGGCTCGCATGCAACGGCAATGATCTGCACCTTGAGAGGCGTGGCCTGTGCGTACAATTCTCCAATAAGGAATCCACATTCTGAAATCTTACTACAATTCTTTTCAACTTGCGGCGAATCCTGAAAATCAAACAAGAAAATACAAAAGTGACACATTTTGTGACACAGGAAACGCGGGGACACAAGACGCAACAATGGCGCTCTACCGCACTGGAGATGAGGGAGGCACCAGCATTCAATCGGCAGCATTCGGGGTGACGGATCAGTTGATCCCCTACCAAGAAGAAGGATCCTGGGAATTACGGGGATACAGCGCGCTCATTGCGTCAACCAAGGATTAAAGAGGACCTGTCTAAGCAGGCAACACGGCGGCTCTGATTTCTACATTTCACCCCCGACTGAATCAAGCTGCAGGAGCACTTATGGGACCTTAACGTGTGCTTAGGGCATGCTAAAGTGGCCTCTCATTTGAGGTGATCACATTCTAGCATGCCTGAGGTACAGCATGATGAATCAAGGTCAGACCAGGAGAACCGTCTTCCTCCAAACTCCTGATCTGCTCACTTCATCCACATCAGCGACTTCGAAGGACTGGGACAGCCAGGCAAATAGAATTTTCAGGACTTCGGTCTTGACGGATCCACTTTAAAAGGGTCAAACATATAAATTTCTTTTGCTTTACCTGCAGAACATCTGCTGTGACTCCCCTGACAAGGACAGAGGCATCTGTGTGCAATCAGAGCCACGACAAGCGCAGAAAATGACCGCGGGCGGCCTCGGCGGACGCAGGAAGCCGACAGGTGACCTTCCAGTGACGTCCTATTGATTGATAGATTAGACTCCCATCAATGGCGGGCACACCACGGAGCCTGGGGGCCCATCATGAAGAGATCCATAGAATAAGGCGAGTGCTTTCCTGAGCGATGATGCTTCCTCTCCCGGAGACTGATGGGACCCACTCATCGCGCTTCTCATTTATAGGGTCACCATATGGGCAAAAGTCTGGGGACCCCAAACCATCACACCTATGGGAGCTGCTTGGACATCTCATTCCAGGACTGCGGCCATTAATATGGAGTTGCCTCAGCCACTCCCCCCTATCTATGGAGTAGCCCCCTTTCCCCCCCCCATGGAGGGTCGCTTCCCCATTAATATGGAGCCACCCCCTATCTATGGAGTAGCCCCCTTCCCCCCCATGGTCATTATATATGGAGTAGCCCCCTTTCCCCCCCATGGTCATTAATATGGAGTAGCCCCCTTCCCCCCCATGGTCATTAATATGGGAGGTGCCCGCTTCCCCCATTGTACATTAATATGGAGGTGTCGCTTCCCCATTGTACATTAATATGGAGTAGCCCCCTTTTCCCCCCCATGGTGATAAATATGGAGTAGCCCCCTTTAGCCCCCCCCCCCCCATGGTCATTAATATGGAGGTGTCGCTTCCCCATTGTACAGTAATAAATTTGCCTCAGCCACTCCCCCCATCTATATGGTTTAGCCCCCTTTCCCCCCCATGGTGATTAATATGGAGGTAGTCGCTTCCCCCCATTATCCCATTAATATAAAGGAGCCTCAGCCACTCCCCATGGTATCTAAATGGAGTAGCCCCCCTTCCCCCCCATGGTGATTAATATGGAGTAGCCCCCTTCCCCCCCCCCATGGTGATTAATATGGAGTAGCCCCCTTTCCCACCCATGGATTAATATGGAGTAGCCCACTTCCCCCCCCCCCATGGTCATTAATATGGAGTAGCCCCCTTCCCCCCCCCCATGGTCATTAATATGGAATAGCCCCCTTTCCCCCCCCCCATGGTGATTAATATGGAGTAGCCCCCTTCCCCCCCCATGGTCATTAATATGGAGTAGCCCCCTTTCCCCCCCCATGGTCATTAATATGGAGTAGCCCCCTTTCCCCCCCATGGTCATTAATATGGAGTAGCCCCCTTCCCCCCCATGGTCATTATATGGAGTAGCCCCCTTTCCCCCCATGGTTATTATATGGAGTAGCCCCCTTTCCCACCATGGCCATTAAGTTGTCCCCCTTTCCCCATTGTCATTAATATGGAGTAGCCCCCTTTCCCACATGGTCATTAAGTTTCCCCCCCTTTTCCCATAGTTATTACTATGGAGTAGCTCCCTTCCCCCATGACCATTAATATGGAGTACACCCCCCCCCCCCCCCAATAGCCATTAATATGGAATTATCCCCTTCGTGGCTAGAACAGCCTCCACTCTTCTGGGAAAGCTTTCCACAAGATGTTGGAGGGTGTCTGTGGGATTTTGTGCCATTTGTGAGGTCAGGTTCTGATGTTGGATGAGAAGACTTGGTCCACCATCGGTGTTCAGTAGGGTTGAGGTCAGGGCTCTGTACAGGACACTGGAGTTTCCTCCACACCAAAAACTGGTCATCTATGTCTTTATGGAGCTGGCTTTATGCACTTGACCATCACACCTCATACCAGACCATCACAAAAAGCCAATAATATGTAGTTGCCCCCCCATACATCCTCCACCCTTCTGGGAAGACTTTCTACAACATATTGGAAAGTCTGTGGGAATGTGTGCCCATTTGTGGGGTCAGGTACTGATATTGGATGAAAGGACCTGGTTTGTGTGCCCTATATTAAGCAGCAAAAGAAAAAAGAACTGGCTGACAATCACAGCATTCCAATTCATCCCAAAGGCATTGAGGTCGGGGCTCTGTACAGGACACGAGTTCCCCCTCCACACCAGACTGGTCATCCATGGAGCTGACTTTTGTACACCGGGGACAGTCATGGGGGGACAGAAAAGGGTCTTCACCAAAACGGTTACCACAAGGCTGGAGGAGAGATGGTCTACAATGTCTTTGTACGATGGAGTATTACCAGGACCCGTCACTGAAGACACCTGACCTCCACCATTGGAGGGGGCCCACATATGTCTTCCTATATTGGCAAGTGTGATGGTCAGGGGTTCAAAGACCTTCGGCCATATACTGTGTAGTCCAGTACATTGGCTGCACGTCCTTCATCTTTGCAGGTTAAATACTTTCATTTTTTTCCTGTCCTTCAGGCCCCGTCCCTAAGTGATGATATTCTGCTCATCGGTTTCAACAACTGGTAATATGTGATGCTGAGATGGGGGTGGGACATGCTGTGAACTCAACTGCACAAGGTTTTTTTCCCTTTGCTATGTAACCAAAGACCCCCCCCCCCCCCATTCCCCACATATCAGTGAAACCATCTCAAAGACCTCTGAGGAGCTCACAGTAACATCTGAGAATAGCCCGCCCCTGAGATTCCAATAGAAAGGAAATCCTGCCCTTCCACTAGAAGGGAGGGCAGGGGCAGGATATCCTTTCTAGTGGAAGGGCAGGGGCAGGATATCCTTTCTAATGGAAGGGCAGGGGCAGGATATCCTTTCTATTGGGAGGGCAGGGGCAGGATATCCTTTCTATTGGGAGGGCAGGATATCCTTTCTATTGGGAGGGCAGGGGCAGGATATCCTTTCTATTGGGAGGGCAGGATATCCTTTCTATTGGGAGGGCAGGGGCAGGATATCCTTTCTATTGGGAGAACAGGGGCAGGATATCCTAATAGAAAGGATATCCTGCCCCTGATCTTCCACTAGAAGGATATCCTGCCCCTGCCCTTCCATTAGAAAGGATATCCTGCCCCTGAGCTTCCACTAGAAAGGATATCCTGCCCCTGAGCTTCCACTAGAAGGATATCCTGCCCCTGAGCTTCCACTAGAAGGATATCCTGCCCCTGAGCTTCCATTAGAAAGGATATCCTGCCCCTGAGCTTCCACTAGAAGGATATCCTGCCCCTGAGCTTCCACTAGAAGGATATCCTGCCCCTGAGCTTCCACTAGAAGGATATCCTGCCCCTGAGCTTCCAATAGAAAGGATATCCTGCCCCTGCCCTTCCATTAGAAAGGATAT